TCCCCATTGGAAGATTTCATATCAATTACTTTTCTAGGGACAATCCAAAATTTGGGATTTTCTTTTACTTTCACTTTCAAGGATAATGGTAAACAGGACAAATAGAGAGGGTGAATCTCCCTAATGAGGGCACAGACAGCGATAACAACTGACAAGCATTCTAGTCCCTCCTCAACAAAAGTTTTTTTTCAGATCTATCAGCAGGTCAAGGATACATTCATATCCCTAAGTCTCCTTTTTCTTACTTACAGTTAGAGCCCTTATCCCAAGACACTGGAGAATCCACTCTTTGAATGAGGATTGGTGAGGATGGGGTAAAAGGTATACAGTAGCTGTCTGAGACACCTAGATTAGCTACCTGCACTCCGAACACCTGACAATGTGGCCTGATATGTTTTTCTCTTTCTACAGAAGCAAAGGAGTCTCCACAACAGAGGTGGGCTTCCCTGCTGGTGGCTTTTTTCTCATCTCTCTCTCTGTTTTCTTCTTTTCTTCTGCTGCTATTTATGGATTACCTGACTACAGCTTTGAAACTATTCCCTATCCATTGCCTACCCTACCTGTGCCCTCCAGTCCTCACAGGACCTCCTGCTCTCTAGCTTTCTGGTCTTCTCCTCCCACGCTCGATTGCAGGACTTCTCCAGGACTCCCCCATCCTCTGAACTCCCTACCCCAATCCATCAGACTGTCACCTACCCTCCTCACCTTCAGGCGCACCCTGAAAACCCTCCTCTTTAGGGAAGCCTACCCCAACCTCACCTAACACCAGACCTCACCTAACAACTAACCTCCTCCACTCCACCCACCACTCCATCCCCCACAGCCATCTCCTCTTGTGCCACCTTCCCCTCCCTCCTAGATTGTAAGCTCGAAAGAGCAGGGCCCTCGAACCCCTCGTGTATTGTTACTGTCTTGTCTCATGTTATGTCCCCCTTGCTACTGTACAGCGCTGAGCATACCCTTTGGCGCTATATAAATACTGTATAATAATAATAATAATAATTGATCAATAACTTATCTCATACCCAGAGGCCGACTGACAACCCATGGGGCCCCCAGACAATAGGGGATCATGGGGCCCCTGTGTCCTCGCCCACACTCAAACCACTCCCAAAAAAGCCTATGAAAGGTACCAGGGGCATCTCATGGGGCCCCCTACTGACCCCGGGCCCTCGGGCAGTGCCCGATTGTCCGAATGGTCAGTCCACCCCTGCTCATACCCCAACATTACTCAATAAGATAAATGTGTATATCTATCTTTTACTGCCCATGCTTGCCTAGTATAGCTGTAAACCTTTCAATAAAATTTTACTATTAAAACAATGCAGCCCTGTAACCATCAATATAAAATCAATGCATTTTTTTTTTGTAATTTAAGCAGTTAAAATACCATAATGTGACTTGGAGTCCCTGAATAGTAGAGCTGGAGTGTGAGGAGAAGAAGCAGTTCAAGAAAGCAGTTCATGTGCTGACATGAAGCATGCTGAAAGGAGGAGAAAGCAGAGTGACAGAGAGATGAGCTCATCACTTGGCTGTTTCTCCTTGTACTGTCCAGTAACAGGCTGGAAGCAGGTTAATTTAACCCAATAGGTTGCGAAATCAGATAATGTGTGTGCTCAATTCACCTGCATAAAGTATTTCCATATAGGGAATCTTTTCTAGATAAGTACTGTGGTATTTTCTATATTCTTTCTTCTCCCTAACTTTCTCTGTCCCCTTTCCTATGCCCCCCCCCCTTTTTTCACTTTCTCTTTGTCTCTATCTCTCTCTCTTTATTAAAGTGGTTCTAAAGTTAAAAGGCATTTTATCTTAATGCATTACTTTACCGGAAAGGAGGAGCTGAAAGTGACAGTGAGAGGCCCCAGTGGAGTAGGTAAAGGGGAGCTCTGTGCAATATCCTTGCACAGAGCAGGTAAATATAGCATAATTTTAGGTAAAAAAAAACACTTTAAAGTGGTAGTAAACTGGAAGATAAAAAAAAAAGTTTTCCCCTGCAAGGTAATGGTATAATGTGCTAGTATGCATCGCTGCTGCATGCATCAGATTGACTTCTGTGCAACCATCCAGCCCATACATGGATCAAAAATGTGTCCAGTCCCTGCTGAATTGACTGAATTATGATCCATGTATGGCCAGCTTTAAGCCTCATGCACATAAAAAAACGGCAGTAGCGTTGGCTGTAGAATTCTGCATTTAAAATGTGAGTTTTGTTGCAATTTTTAGCGATTTTGCATTAGCATTTTTCAATTTTTTTTAGCTTTTTTCGGCATTTGCGTTTTTTAGCAAAGCTATACTCCCACAAAAGCTTGATGCTCAAAAACTCTTATAAATGCAGGATAGCTATGTTTTCAGTGTAAGTCCTCATGCACACGGGACATTTTTACAGCGGCTGTTTTTGGCTTTTGATGTTTTTTTCTACAGCCAGTAAACTCCCCAGCATGTTATCCTATGTGCACACATAGCCTGCAATCAGAGTTTTTTAGCTGTAAAAATGCTCTAACGCTGAAAAACATAGTAAAAAGTGGTAAATCGCTGCAAACCATCTTTTTTGGACTCTTTTAGCAAAAAAAAAAATATTTTGTTTTTGCTAAAAAAAACCCACAAAAAAAACCACAAACGAAAAAACAAGGCAAAATGCCGCTAAATGCTAATGCAAAGACACTAAAAAACGCTGAAAAACTCGCGTTTTTAATGTGACTTTACACAGCTAACATTACCTGCTTTATTAAAACACCCCGTGTGCATGGTGCCTTAGAGCATTTTTACAGCTGAAATAATTCCTCTTCAAATGCAGTAGTTCTGGGGGGGTTTCCAGCCTGTGCATGGACACATAGGATAAAATGCTGCGGAGTTTATTGGCTGTACAAAAAAAACAGCAGCTGTGAAGAGTAACCAGGGGCGGACTGACAACTCATGGGGCCCCCGGGCAATAGGGGATCATGGGGCCCCTGTGTCCTTGCCCAAACTCAAAAAAGCCTATGAAAAAGGTACCAGGGGCATCTCACGGGGCTCCCTACTGACCCCGGGCCCTCGGGCAGTGCCCGAGTTTCCAAATGGTCAGTCCGCACCTGAGAGTAACACAGTGTACATGAGGTTACTCTTCCATGTTTTCTCTGTTTTTTGGCTTGCTTGCCACAGAGGCAGTTCTGTGTTATTTCATATGTACAATCCACCCTCGCCCCCCCAAGACTTGCCCTCTTTGGGGCAGATTTCTTCTATTGTACTTTCCAGCATATTTGGGAGTTCTTTTTTGTACTTTGCTTTATCGTTTTTTTGCTTTTCTGAATGTAATCTACTATTGATAATTCTTGGCACACTGTGTGAAAAATTTTATTTCTATAGTTTGTAAAAAAGTATTATAAAAGTATTGAAAATAAATTAAAAACCTGGTTAATTTATTTACTCTGCACATTTGGAAGGGAATCTTGTCATATTAAATTGTGAACATTCTCAAATCTCTTAGATTGTAAGCTCCAAGGATCAGGGCCCTCCTAACGCTCTTGTATTGAACTGTATTGTTGCTGTATTGTCTCCCGTTATATTGTAAAGAGCTGAGCAAACTGTTGGCGCTATATAAATCCTGTATAATAATATAATAATAATAATTAGTTAGTCGACCTCAATGCTTCCACATTAGTAAAGTAAAAAATTACTTGTTCCGCATTTGATATTCCTCTCCATAAGATCTGTTATAAAATAAAAAATACAGAAAATAAGAAAAGACGGATAGCACAAAATGTAAGATTTACTTGCAGCATATGGACCAAGATGCATGGAGCTATATCCTATATATATATATATATATATATATATATATCTTTACACTGTATACCAAATAAGAAGAGAAGTGAGAATTACACCCAGCATACAGAACAAGAGCAATGTGCATAGAGAAAGAATTTATGTTGAGTGTTGTCCATATAAGGTTCTGTATAATACTTCGCTCCCTAATGAACAGTGTGCAGTGATAACTAACCCCTTCCAAGTGTACACTGATAACACACATTCTGCATGTAGAGGCAATAAATAGAAGTGATTAGTTCGGTTTAAGCTGCTATCTCTTTAGACTATTACAATTTGTACAAAGAAAATGCATGTCAATCTCCTTTTTTATTGCTTTTTTTTTTACCTTTTTATGTAATACACTATAGATAAAGAATTGTCTGGTTCTCCGGACTGGCACCTTTTAGGAGGCCACAGCAATATGGTCTTGGATATGAAGGGCTCCTGCTATGCACATGAGAACCTCAGAGCCAATTAAACTGACACTTAAAATCATTTTGTGTGGCTATTAAAGGAGAATAACAACGGTCGTACCCACGCAGGGTCTAATACATCTGATAGTTAATCACGGTAATCACAATCAAACATTTGCCGTAAACAGTCAGGACTTATGTGAAGGTATTGGTAGAGGGCTCTTTGGGGGCCTGTAGTCTCAGATAGGTGGCCTAATCCACTGGTTGGAAAAGTAGGCCTGTGAAAGGAAAAATGGGGAAGGGGTGGGAAGAGGGAAGAGTGGAGTATCAAGGGGAGCAAGACAAGTTATCGGAGAGCAGAAATAGAGGTTGGGGAACAGGGACAAAACATAGGGATGGGTAGCAGGGAAGGGAGACATAATTCCCCCACAGTCTAAAGGCCAGGAATAAAAAAAACTCAGGCTAGAAGAAAGATAGAAGGCACAATTAAGACACGTTTCCGTATTTTAAGGAATTTAATTTGTGAGTATGCACTTGTACGAAGGTTCAAATCAGCTACACAGGTGCTGCCTGGATAGGAGGGTAGCGGTTAATGCCTTTCCCAATTCTTTGGTTTTTGGCAGGATTCCTGGGTCCGACCCACTGCACCTATGGATATGAAAGAGGACAGCAGGCCGAGTCCTAGAGCCTTTTGCCTTTTAGCCCATTAGCCCTTTTGTCTTTTGTTTTTTTTGTCTTTCAGTTTTCCTGGTTCCTCCGAGGAGAGCCATGCCCGGGAGGAATACAGAATGTCACTTCCTACTACTTGGATGTAAAGTTGTCAGAACTTGGGGTTCTCCCCGATGACACCAGCTGCTGGAGAATGACTGTGATGGACTCTGTATTTACAAGGACTCTACCTCTGCAGGTACGCCGGGGCAGCACATTGCCTGGTTAGAAGTAGGGACTAGGAAAATGTTGAACATTTTATTAAAACTCTGCTGGACTGCTATTTGTCTGCTTTGGACTCTTTTGCTGCACTTTAATACAAGTAAAGCATTAAACTTTGCCTTCTGCCTGGTCTGAAATCCTTGAAAGTGGTGCAATGCAAGTAACCGGCACTATCACACACTTAGTCTACAGCTTGGGTCACTGTCACACAGGGTAGTATTATTATTATATAGTATAGGGTTTGCTCAGCGCTGTACAATAGCAGGGGGACAGAACTTGAGACAGGACAGAAACAATACAATACACGAGGGGTTCGAGGGCCCTGCTCTTTCGAGCTTACAATCTAGGAGGGAGGGGAAGTGGAACAAGAGGAAATGGCTGTGGAGAATGAAGTGGTAGGAGGAGTGGAGGAGGTCAGTTGTTAGGTGAGGGTGGGTAGGCCTCCCTGAAGAGGTGGGTCTTCAGGGTGCGCCTGAAGGTGAGGAGGGTAGGTGACAGTCTAATGGACTGGGGTAGGGAATTCCAGAGGATGGGGGAGGTCCTGGAGAAATCCTGCAATCGGGCGTGGGAGGAGGAGACCAGGGAGCTAGAGAGTAGGAGGTCCTGTGAGGAGCGAAGGGCATGGGTAGGGTTGTATTTAGGTATCAGGTCAGTTAGGTAGTTTGGGGCGGCATTGTGAATGGCTTTGTAGCTCAGGGTTAGCAGTTTGAATTTGATGCGTTGGGCAATTGGTGTGGGGATTGGCAGATGGGGGTGGCAGATGTGGAGCCGTTGGTGAGGTGGATGAGTCTAATTGCTGAGTTCAGGGTATGAAGAGTTAACATGTTAGGAGTCACCTTAATGCAAGTTATACTTGTGGTTGCCATGAGCAATGGTAAGTACAGTCAGCAAGTAGCCTGTCAGAAACATGTGCCTGTTATAGGTGGAATTTCCTCTAGCCACCAGGGAGATGTTGTCAGCACTCCCTACACCGCATCACCTGTCCCTTAGCAATGGGAACAAAAATGCAAAGGTCCCCATCCTGTACAGAGATAAGGAAGTTCAAGAGCAAAAGTTCAAGAGCAAAAGTGGGGGGGGAGCGCTGGACAGGTGGCTGTGACCAGTGTTTGATACAGCCTGCCTACATGCAATTTACAGTGGGAAGAGGTACATTTACACAGGGACCTGAGAATAACTGGAGGACAGTTGTGCAAGTGTACATGGTGTACATTCATCTTTAAGAGCCTTAAGGCTGGAAACCTCATGCTTCTCCTAGAGCATTGGTGAAAATGGTAAAGGTACCCCATGTGTGTGAAATAAAGTGACCTAGTGTAGTCAAGAAAAACCCACCCTGGCAGGGGGGGGTAGGCCTCTCCTGTTTCCCAAACTTGCCGCACAACAAGTTAACATCGAGGACATAACAATTATCCCTTCTGCTCTACCCCACCTGTCCCACACATTCAATGGGGTTGATTTACTAAAGGCAAGTAGACTAGTTGCTCCAGAGCTTAGAAAATGAGGAAAAGCTCTGCTGACTTCCATTATCCAATCATGTGCAAGCAGAAATGCTTTTTTTTTTTCCTTGCATGTGATTGGGTATTCTTTGCAAAGTGAAGCTTTACATCATTTACTAAGCTCTGGAGCAACTGCACTTGCAAAGTGCACAGTCTGTTTGCCTTTTGTAAATCAGCCCCAATGTTTTACATTAAAAGGGCCCAAAAACACTTCATGCCCCTCTTCAAACACCAGTCCAGTGCTCATTTGCATCGCTGATGTTTTTCAGAAAAAAGTTAGGTGTTTTTCAGAGTTATTTGTAATTTGTCTCCGGGGGGAGGGGAGGGGTCCTAAGGAATTCTTAAAAATATCCACTGGCCATCTTACCTTTTCATCTTTTGGATACTATTGAAATAAAGGGGCTTTTTTTTTTGTTATCTTTGTCCAGGGCCATATTATTCATTGGGAAAATGGTGCAATTTTTCTTGGCCCTATAGTCCAGGAGTCCGGAGCTTTTCACTATCTACAGAAATTTATAGCTCTACCTCTGTGCAGAAAACTTCTGTGTCAGTCATTAGCCACCTCGCATTAGGCCCACAAATCACACCTTCCACTAGAGTTGGCCAAATGGGAAACCTGAAAGAAGCACTCCACACCAAAGACTAGGCTATAAAGGTCCTGTGAACCCCCAACTCACACTGTCATGGTGGGAGAGCCTTTGGAGTAAAAGATATCCACCTTCAACTGCTTCTCTCTCCAGGCACCTGAGAAGCCTCAGCCACCTCTGCTGCCTCACCCCCTTGTTTTCTGCCTGTGTAGCGTGTTCTAGGCAAGGCAACAATTGGCATTATATATCCGACCATATAATATAGAAGCAAATGTGAGTCATATAAACAAAACAAGGGAAAAGTAAGAGCAAATAATACCAAAAGCAACAGCAGAAATGAGTAGTAAAAATGGAAGTGAAGAGGGAATGAGACAATTTAGCCTAGAAGAAAAATTGTGTTTTACCCTTTACTGATTGATTCCTATTATGTTAATTACATTTAGTTTTCAAATGTGAGCAGTGTTTGCAACCGAATTTGGCCTGGTAGCATCATATTGTTACATTCCCCAATACAACAGAACACGGACTGGGAGAGGGAGAAGCTGAGCAAGGAGCTGATCAGTTTTGCTGCAGTATTCACATGGTTTTAAAAAACATGCCAATAAGAGGAGGCTGCTGGAGGGAGAAGACCTGTAAGAGTTAACTAAAACCAACTAAAATCAGGCCTCCTGTCCAGCCAGGCAGGACTGTGCTGTGTTGCAGAGCAGTGTAAATCTCAGGACTGGAATAACAGAACTACAAATTCTTTGGCAGGTAAAACAGCTCCCATATATGTATTTTATTGGTGTGTTTAGCTGTTTGCTTCAGTTCAGCTTTAACAAAAACTTTGCGTATCGAATTCTTTGAAAAATCTCAGCATAGCGTATCTATTAAGTGACCATGATCAAATGCCAGTTACCACCTAATGCCTCTTTCAGATGGTGCGGACCTGCCAACGGATCCGTTTGCTCAGTGGGGGATCTCTCCACTGATCCCGGCTGACCAAGCGGATGACAGGTCTGTGTCCGCTCTGCTGCAATTTTTCATAAGTTATTTTTTATCTTTATAACTCCTACAAATATTTTACTTACTGATGTCAGGGCTGTTAGTATTAGGATAATACTTTGCTAAATACGTCTTTAATATTTATACCTGTTTTGTCTTTGTAATTAAAAAAATATATATGTTATTTAATTAATTACAAATGTATTCTTAAACTACATATTTATTTTATTTTTGTGTTGAAATAATGTTGGTTAATTTTTTTATGCTTAGTTTCCTAAACATCCTCATAAATGATCATTTTTGGACCTATGGCATTACAGGATGTAGCAAAAGACAACATAGTTAAAAAATATGAGAACTATTTTTGAAATTTTGAGAATTTTATTTTTATTTTGCCTTGTGTATACATTTGATCAGAGTTTTATATTTACATTTATATAACTTCTTGAAATATTTTTTGTTGTGGCTTGCTGTTTTTGTGTTGAGCAATTTTAGGATTTTCTTGTACTCATCACTGTTGTGCATAGTACCTGAAATTCTTGCTTCATGGGTTTAACTAGTAAAGTGTAACTAAACACCATTGGTGCTCATATCTGACTCTGAGGGAGGTGTAGCTTTATATACTTTGCTTTCTAGGAAGTAGAAACAGTCTGTGTGATTTCTCCGTCATGGAGCTGACTACGGCACTGTTTCTGGGCCTCCTCCTTTTGGCTTTGTTATGGAGGAAATTCTCTCGGCCAAAGGATTTCCCTCCTGGGCCTCTAGCATTGCCTGTACTGGGTAACATACTGCAAATGGACTTTGCTAATCCTACAAAGAACCTGAGAGAGGTGAGTTGAGGATATTAGGAAAACTGAAGGACATCTATTTCTAGGCTGACAGTAGCTCAGCAATTAGCATTGTAGCTGCACACCTGACTTGGAAGGTCAGTCTTGGGTTTTGATGATTTGACAATGAACATATATTTTGAGTTTTGACAACAGGGTATTTTTCCACAAACAAGTATATTGTTTGTGGGAAAATATCCTCTCGTCAAAACTCAAAATATATATCGCCATCAGAGCATGGATCATCAAAATTAACATCCAAATGTTTATTTGAGAAGACCATCTCACAGCGGTAAGGTGCAACATTTCGGACCTATGCAGGACCCCTTTCTCAGGCGTGTGATCCATGTAGGGTTTCCACCTCATTCCTTTAAAACCGAACACGTATTAATTACACAGGTTCTGTGGCTGATTAATGTGGTAATTAAATTCGCTGAGTACCTTATGTGCACTAAATTAGCCTCAGAACCTGTGTATTTAATATGTGTTTGGTTTTAAAGGGATGAGGTGGCAACCCTAGATCCATTCCTGATGAAGGAGTCTTGCGTGGCCCCAAAACATTACACCTTACCACTCTGAGATGGTCTTTTCAAATATATTTTTTTTTTTTTCATTTTGATGACCCATGGTGTGCTGGTGATATATATTATAATCTATGGTGTCACCAGTCTCCTGTTGATATCTGCTACAGTTATCCTGCATGTTTTTGTACGTATGTATGCATTAGGAATATTGCACGCTGTTCTCAATTACAATCAAAATTACCAAACTTTCCTGTCTATCTGCACATTGGAACTAATTCATATTATATTATTTGTAATTGTTTACAGACCAAACAGTGTATACTCGGATCCAGGGGTGGACTGACAACTCATGGGGCCCCCGGGCAATAGGGGATCATGGGGCCCCTGTGTCCTTGCCCAAACTCAAAAAAGCCTATGAAAAACGTATCAGGGGCATCTCATGGTGCCCTTTACTGACCCCGGGCCCTCGGGCAATGCCCGAGTTTCCAAATGGTCAGTCCGCCCCTGCTCAGATCTAATAAACAATTTACCAGATTGTTACTTTCACCTGTATATCTGACAGTTAGAATAGTTTCATCTGTGTTTTATGAATTGAAACATGGGGCAGATGTGCTGAAACTGGAGCCCTCAAAATCTGGTGCAGCTGTGCACGGCAGCCAATCAGCTTCCAACTTCAGCTAGTTCAATTAAGCTTTGGCAATGAAACCTGCAAACTGATTGGTTTCTATACAGAGCTACACCAGATTTCGCACCATGCAGTTTTAGTAAATAATCTCCATGGCATTGAATGCATGCCTTTTATTTGTCCAAGGAATATTGACTGTGGACACACATAAAACATTGTCTAACCACTTGCCCTCCAGAGGATTTACCCCCCTTCCTAACCAGGCCATTTTTTACGATACGGCGCTGCGTTACAATGCTGTACATAAATGAAATTTGTCATATTTGGCTAAATGGTTAGCACTTCCGCCTGGCAGTGCTAGGGTCATTGGTTTGAATCCCAGTCACGGTACCACCTACCTGGAGTTTGCATGTTCTCCCTGTGACTGCGTGGGTTTCCTCCGGGTACTCCGGTTTCCTCCCACACTCCAAAAGACATGCTGGTAGGTTAATTGGATCCTGTCTAAATTGGCCCTAGTATGTGTATGTATGAATGTAAGTTAGGGACCTTAGATTGTACACCTCTTGAGGGTTAGGGACTGATGTGAATGTACAATATATATGTGTAAAGAGCTGCGTAAATTGACAGCACTATATAAATACCCGAAATAAATAAATATTTGTTTCCCACAAATAGAGCTTTCTTTCGGTGATATTTGATCCCCTGAGTTTTGTTTTTTTTTAAACAAAAAGAGATCAACATTTTTGAAAAAAACCCTGTATTTTTGACTTTTTGATATAAAACATATCCAACAAAAAAATTAAATTTGTCATAAATTTAGGCCATAATGTATTTTGCTACATGTCTTTGCTAACAAAATCACAATAATTGTATATTAATTGGTTTACGTGAAAGTTATAGCATCTACAAATGGTTGTATAGACATTGCAATTTATATTTTATCTTTTTTATACTAGTAATGGTGGCAATCGGCAACTTATAGTGGGACTGCAGGACTGCGGCGTGCAATCTGTAACTGGTGGGTGACACTAATACAATGATCAGTGCTAATAAAAAGCACTGACACTGTACTTATGCCACTGGGCAGGAAGGGGTTAACATCTGGGGCGATCAAAGGGTTAACTGTGTGCTGTGTGTGTTTTACATTGTGTGCTGTGTTACTTGGGAGACATGCTGCTTTGTATCTCTCTGAGAGATCCAAAGCAGCATGTCCATGCTGACAAGAGAATCGTTGGCTGGGACCCAGTGATTGACATCCCCATCCACCAATAGCAGTGCGGGCAGGGCGGTGAGCACACACATGCCCCCTATCCAGAGATGCAAATTATGTATATATACATTATTTTGCGCAGCCATCCTGCCCTGTAGCAGTACTTTTGCTATAGGCTGGATAGCAAGTGGTTAATATTTGAGAAAGAAGACACTTAGCCTGGGTTCACATATGTGAGGTGTGGTATATCGCACGTGATTCGCACAGGAACTGCACCACATTCCTGTGCAAATCACATGTGATTTGTGTGCGGAGCAATCGGAGCCATACATTTTGTATGGCTCTAATCGCATCGCACCCGCACCAAAAACGTGCAGGACCCTTTTTTGGGTCCGCACTAGAATTGGATCGTATAGCCCATCGTATCATGTATGGTATTTGCACACCTCCATGTTTAATATTTACCTCCAGATTTAATCCACAAAAGGTGCTGATTAAAATAATATCTCATTAGGGTGACTTCTATGCAACATAGAAGATGGTAAAGTTCAAAGTGAATGTGTTCCACTATTTGTAAATAGACATCTATGTTTTACTGTATGTTTTTATATTTCACATTTTTTTTGCATGAGGTCACTGGATCTGGTCAGTGGAGACTATATCCTAACCCCCCCACCCACTATGTAGCTGTGCAGCAATAGATCACTATAGCAGTGATCTATTGCTGCAGACAACTCTGGATGTAGCTGAGGCAGGTCTCCTTACTTGCATTGTGATTACATCAGAAAGGATGGAGCACTAAGGAGCAGTGTGTAGCAAAGCTGAAAGTCCAGTAGCTTATTATTTTAGCTCTTGGGCTTAGCACTGAAACCACAGGACTGCAGAAAGCAGGAATGCTTTGAGACAATAATCACTTTTTATAATACGGCTCCGGGAAAGTCATTTAAATCAGCGGTCGCCCACCTTTCGGACCTCACAGACCTCTAAATTCATCATTTTAAATCCTGCGGACCACTAAAATGAATTTATTAAAAAGATAAATACATTTGTAAAATAATGATCAGAGAACTTCCAATTTATTAATATGAAATGCACCTATTTAATCTAACAAAATTATAAATGCTTATTTAATCATAACAAAATCTTTAAAGATTGTTTAATTGTAACAAAATTATTAAAGTTAGTTTAAGCACTACAAAATAATTGAAGCGTTTTTAAGTATTACACATTTTTAGTGTGATATTTGTTTCTGCTTGTTTGAAATAAGTTTATGGATTTCTGGCTCCAATGATATTACTGCAAGACGGAGAGACGTTTTTAAAGCTGAGACCGGTACCAACAATACTGAAGCGTATGGTTCGGCAATGGTTTCCTCATACAATGCAACTCTAGTACAGTTTATGAATTTAGTGTAAAATAACGGCGAAAATTATCATTCAGAAAATAAGAATTTCTTCGAATGTTATTTTTGTTTTATTATTAATAAAACAAAAAATGTAAATAAAAACCAGATTTTCTGTGGGCCATCAAAATTTTCTTGTGGTCCACGGACCATTGGTTGGCGACTGCTGATTTAAGGGATAGTTGAGCTTTATTTTTTTTTTCCAGTTTTCACAAATCGGTTCTGCAGTGTTTATTTATAACATACAAAACATCATTTACATTTTTCTTTCAGTTTTCCAAGGTGTACGGCCCAGTGTACAGCATTTACTTGGGATTTACCCCGGCTGTGGTCATCCAAGGGTTCAAAGCCCTCAAAGAGGTTCTAGTGAACAAGGGAGTAGATTATGCAGACAGACCTCAAAATAGATTAATAGAAGCGATTTCTGGTACTAGAGGTAATGTGATTATATTCTTTATTACCTGAGAATATTTTGATCTGATTAATGAATAATTTGGGTACAGAACTGACTCTATCAGTTACCAGTTATATTAGTTTTAAAAATGATAAAGTTGCATACACAGGAAAATAAAACACAATTGCTAATTAAAATAAAATGTATTATAATGTTTATATATTCAATATCTGATATCTCAGGGACAGCAGAACTCCAATAAGAGTATTATTGCCATGTAGATTGCTTTCAGTCAACACCCTAAACATGTTTACCGTAGAAGATTCCTATACTATGTTAGCAGCTGATAAATGCCAAAAGGTTGTCATTTAAGTGATTCTTTTATTGTCCAATTCAAGTTATTAAAGATGTAAGCTTTGGGATCTAAGCAGTCCCCAAAGCTTGTGTTACAGGATTATCAGTTATCTGCATGCAAGGTATGACAAGGAAGCAGCCTGCAGTATCTGTATTTAAAGAGGAGACAGAAAACACATGTTGCTTACGTGCTCATTCTCAGTTTAATGTGAGCTTGTTGGTTATTAGTCTCCTGATGTCATAGTACAAATCATTAGAGCTCCCTCTAGCTGCAGCCTAGTAATAGCATTACTGGTAGGTTTATTCATTTATTTGCTACACTTATACCTTTAAAGAGGTAGTAAACGTTACTAAACATTCACCGTTTAGGAGATATTCTAGCAAGCAGCAACTGGTTACGTCACTGGCGCATGCGCTCCGAAGGAACTGCATACCCGGGTCGTTCCTTCCAATCCCAAGGCTCCTGCACGCACGTGTGGGAGTGACATCATTGCAGCTCGCCCAATCAAACCGCTGGAGCTTGTGAACCCTGAAGAAGACCCGGTGAAGATGGAATCCCTGTCAGCGGTGACAAGGCACTGCTGGAGGGATCCGTTCTAAGGTTAAGTCTAACATAATGAGACAGTATGCAGTACTAACAGCCAATTCACACTGACTTGTGCTAAAATGAATGGAAAATGGATGTACATTTCCATCCATTTTAGTTGCGTGCTGGCATCCGTTGACATACATTTCCACATCTGTTGAGATACATTTTGGGATCAGTTGACATGCATTTTAGCGTGTGTTAAAGTGTACTGCATTTTTACAGGATATCCTGTGCATTGCGTTGACATTCACTTACATCTGTTGCGCTAAAATGCATATATGTTGCATTGCAGTGCAACACAGGTCAACGCAGCATTATAGTGTGAATAGGACACATTGGAAACGATTGTTTTTGAGATGTCCATCCATTGATCTGCATTATACATCTGCGCTAAAATGCAGATCAACACACTAGTGCGAATTGGCCCCTAAACTTGCAGGGGGATCCTTTTCTTTTTTTTTTTGTTAACTGCTGCTACTTTAATAACCTGATTTATCCAATAAAAAGTATCACTTGAACTTACAGAGGGGGAGAACAGTATGAGTATCTTATCAATCTGGAGTTTCTACTGCAGTGTCCAGTTGTCTAGTGACAGGCAGAGAACAAGTAGAAAGCAGCTCGGGATCCTTGTTAAAATAATCCGTCAATTTATCTGATAAAAATAAAATAGTACACTTACATGTTCAAAACTTGACAATCAGCATCAGTAAAGGATGAAGACACCACAGGGCTTTCACCCCAAAGCTGCAATGTGTGTAAATTGGGCACTATCTCTCTAGCCAGCTCTGGAGAGATATAGGTATGAATCGCTGGCCGGGACAACTGAAAGGAGAGAGATCTGTGTAAACAACATATCTCTCCACTGTCAGCAGGGAATACTGGTTTTACCCTCTGCAAAGCAGGGAGATAAAAACCAGCACATCCTTTAGTAAAACACAACAAAGTACACAGTAAAAACACTCCCTAACACAAAGTTAACCCTTTGATCACCCCAGATGTTAACCCCTTTCTGCCCAGCATCACTAGTACAGTGTCAGTGCTTTTAATAAGCACTGGTCACTGTATTAGAGTCACTGGAGATGTCAGTGACAGTTAGTTCACACCCAGTGACAGTTAGTGCTATAAGTCGCTAATCACTGCCATTACTAGAATATAAAAAAATATATACAAATTCCAGCATATATACCATTGTTTGTAAATGCTATAATTTTCAAGCAAACCAATTAATATACACTTATTAGGATTTTTGTTTACCAAAGACATTTTAAATTTATGAAGATATTTTATTCTTTCATTTTTTTTATTGTAATGTATTTTTTTTACTGGATATGTTTTATAGCAAGAAGTAAAAAAAAGTGTGTATATATATATATATATATATATATATATATATATACAGTGGGGCAAAAAAGTATTTAGTCAGCCACCAATTGTGCAAGTTCTCCCACTTAAAAAGATGAGAGAGGCCTGTAATTGGCATCATAGGTAGACCTCAACTATTTTCTAATTATTGCTTCCACAGTTGATTTGTTCACACCAAACTGCTTGCCTATTGCAGATTTAGTCTTCCCAGCCTGGTGCAGGTCTACAATTTTGTTTCTGGTGTCCTTCGACAGCTCTTTGGTCTTCACCATAGTGGAGTTTGGAGTGTGACTGTTTGAGGTTGTGGACAGGTGTCTTTTATACTGATAAGAAGTTCAAACAGGTGCCATTGATACAGGTAATGAGTGCAGGACAGAGGAGCCTCTTAAAGAAGAAGGTACAGGTCTGTAAGAGCCAGAAATCTTGCTTGTTTGTAGGTGACCAAATACTTATTTTCCACCATAATTTGCAAATAAATTCTTTCCAAATCAGCCAATGTGATTGTCTGGATTTTTTTTTCTCATTTTGTCTCTCATAGTTGAGGTCTACCTATGATGCCAATTACAGGCCTCTCTCATCTTTTTAAGTGGGAGAACTTGCACAATTGGTGGCTGACTAAATACTTTTTTGCCCCACTGTATATATATATATATATTGAAATCTTCCAGAGGGCAAGTGGTTATATCACCACTTATACAAATCACCTAAGAGTTAAAGGAACCGATTTGTGTGGCTCAGAATCATAGAGAGTCTGGTCCATTTGCCAGTTCACTGTATCAATTTAATTATGTGAACTAGTAAAGTGGTTCAAAGGGTCACATAAGTTGTTCACATTGAGCATGCAGAGTGTGTAGTGGGCCCCCTCATCAGGAAATATAGTTCTTCACTGTAAAGGCAGCTACACTCCTATGCATGTCCCAGGGATCAGAAATTATAACCCCAAGACTTTCAGCAGTGTTAAAAAGGTAATACCACGGGGTTACTGGGCAGAGAATGGACTTTCTCTTGGGAAGTCCCATCATGCACTCTGCTAATAATGTAAACTGGTAGATCATACTTTGCATACCTTTTTTTACCTTTTCCCTAACGAACCAAGAAATCAAAAAATTCACCAAATGGAGCGAATAATAGACTCTGCACTGGTAAAGCAGATTTTTCATCACTGCTATGGAAGTGATAAACTGTACTTTTGACTACTGGACTATACCTGAGTACATCATTTTAAGAACTGACCTTGTTTCAGGTCTGGTGGCTGCACGTTATGGACGTGCATGGAAAGAACACAGACGCTTTACCCTGTCCACATTGCGGAACTTTGGCCTGGGCAAAAAGTCCATGGAGGAGAGGATTCATGAAGAGAGCGTGTACTTAATTGAAGAATTGAGGAAGATGCAAGGTGAGATTACATGGCGCTGGTGTCACTGTTCAGAAGTCTTACTCTGGTTCTTGATTTTGGGGGAATTGTGTATGCAGTGTCTCAAACATGGCCAAAATGAATTTACATTTAAGAGCTGTTTTTTGGTGGATTTCTCACACAAGATCCCAATGTTGCAGAACAGCATATTTAAGGCTATTTAAATTGAATCTGTCATTGCAGTAGAAAATCTGTATTTTTAAAACCTTTTACATTTCTGATATAAGAGAAGAATGCTGCATGGAGTTAAAGGATAAGTCCACCTTTTGCAACATGTTACACCCATATTCAGGGTGTACCATGTAACATGTTACGTAAGGACTGTCCCCCTGAACCCCTGTTGTGACATCTACTGATCACTGGTGCAATGCTTTTCAGGCTCCCAAACCAAAAAATAGTAAATGCACTTTTTTTTTACCTGTTTGTTAAAATGTGAACTTTAAAGCGGAACTAAACTGCATCTGAGCACCACAAACCAAAAATACTACTTAATTCCTTTTTTAATATTCAAAGCAAACTTACCCATCCATCTATGTCTCCATGCTTAATTTTGAGTAAGGGCAAATGATTCATGTAGCATTTATGTTCTGGATTTCATGTGCCCTTAGCTCAGACATGCAGATAGGAAGGGTGCTATCTACAGTCAGGTCCATAAATATTGGGACATGGACACAATTCTAACATTTTTGGCTCTATACACCACCACAATGGATTTGAAATCAAACGAACAAGATGTGCTTTAACTGTAGACTGTCAGCTGTAATTTGAGGGTATTTACATCCAAATCAGGTGAACGGTGTAGGAATGACAACAGTTTGCATATGTGCCTCCCACTTGTTAAGGGACCAAAAGTAATGGGACAATTGGCTTCTCAGCTGTTCCATGGCCAGGTGTGTGTTATTCCCTCATTATCCCAATTACAATGAGCAGATAAAAGGACCAGAGTTCATTTTAAGTGTGCTATTTGCATTTGGAATCTGTTGCTGTCAACTCTCAAGATGAGATCCAAAGAGCTGTCACTATCAGTGTAGCAAGCCATCATTAGGCTGAAAAAACAAAACAAACCCATCAGAGAGATAGCAAAAACATTAGGCGTGGCCAAAACAACTGTTTGGAACATTCTTAAAAAGAAGGAACGCACCGGTGAGCTCAGCAACACCAAAAGACCCGGAAGACCACGGAAAACAACTGTGGTGGATGACAGAAGAATTCTTTCCCTGGTGAAGAAAACACCCTTCACAACAGTTGGCCGGATCAAGAACACCCTCCAGGAGGTAGGTGTATGTGTGTCAAAGTCACCAATCAAGAGAAGACTTCACCAGAGTGAATACAGAGGGTTCACCACAAGATGGAAACCATTGGTGAGCCTCAAAAACAGGAAGGCCAGATTAGAGTTTGCCAAACGACATCTAAAAAAGCCTTCACAGTTCTGGAACAACATCCTATGGACAGATGAGACCGAGATCAACTTGTACCAGAGTGATGGGAAGAGAAGAGTATGGAGAAGGAAAGGAACTGCTCATGATCCTAAGCATACCTCCTCATCAGTGAAGCATGGTGGTGGTAGTGTCATGGCGTGGGCATGTATGGCTGTCAATGGAACTGCTTCTCTTGTATTTATTGATGATGTGACTGCTGACAGAAGCAGCCGGATGAATTGTGAAGTGTTTCGGGAATATTATCTGCTCATATTCAGCCAAATGCTTCACAACTCATTGGACGCTTCACAGTGCAGATGGACAATGACCCAAAGCAGACTGCAAAAGCAACCAAAGAAGTGGAATGTTCTGCAATGGCCAAGTCCATCACCTGACCTGAATCCGATTGAGCATTTCACTTGCTGAAGACAAAACTGAAGGGAAAATGCCCCAAGAACAAGCAGGAACTGAAGACAGTTGCAGTAGAGGCCTGGCAGAGCATCACCAGGGATGAAACCCAGCGTTTGGTGATGTCTATGCGTTCCACACTTCAGGCTGTAATTGACTGCAAAGGATTTGCAACCAAGTATTAAAAAGTGAAAGTTTGATTTATGATTAATATTCTGTCCCATTACTTTTGGTCCCTTAACAAGTGGGAGGCACATATGCAAACTGTTGTCATTCCTACACCGTTCACCTGATTTGGATGTAAATACCCTCAAATTAAAGCTGACAGTCTGCAGTTAAAGCACATCTTGTTCGTTTCATTTCAAATCCATTGTGGTGGTGTATAGAGCCAAAAATGTTAGAATTGTGTCCATGTCCCAATATTTATGGACTGACTGTATGTATTAATGCTAGCAGAAAAAGGATTAAAAATAGTCAATGTTTATTGAGAGAGTGAAGTTCCACTTTAACTGCTTGGCGCAGAGCGTACGCAAATATGCGGCCTTTCAGAGGCTGGGCCTTGGTGCTAAAGGGCCACATATTTGCATACACAATGTAAACAATAGATGTGCTAACAGCGTGCGCCCTGCGTGCTCCCGACACATTTACCAGTTCCTTACGGAAAGATCCCGATGGCTACTTGTGGTTGGGAGCTTTTTGAACATGTGACCGCCGTGACAGCGGTCACATGACCCTAAACCCCACCTCGCCTCTCAGAGTCACAAACCCTTTAAAAGGCCAGGAAGTGTCAGCGCCAAGGGGTTAAAGAAGACCTTCACTCAAAAGTGAAAGTATTAATCATCCGCTTCCTCCTCTTCAGCTCAACAAATTAGCAGATTTTTTTTGTACCTGCTCCCACTTCTCTAATTCCACCTAGGCAAGAATTAAGTCAGCCTTCCCACCCCTCTCCCTGCCTGCAGCCTCCTGGGACACATCACAAGTCCCAAGGGGCTGCAGGGCCAGTAGTATCATAGTAAAGATGTACCTCGTGCATATGCAGTGAGGAGCTGACTGTGATACTTCAGGAAGTCACAGCTGGTTCTCACATCTAAGATGGTCAGACCAGAGAGCCAAAGCCCGGCAAAGAATTGGCTCTGGGTAAGACAGTGATGGACTCCACAGTCTGGTAAGTATCTGTTTCCTGTTTAAGAGCTCTGTAATCTATTCTTGCCTGGTCTGTCTGCACAATTCAAATGATAACTCCACACCTGAAACGTTAAATACATTTTTACAATAATTTGGGCATCACTAGGCTTGTCCAAAACACTCTACTTTATTCAGCCATTGAGTAATCTTGAAGCTAGTTTTATGGCTGCAAGAATATGTGGGGAGAAATATGTAGAGGGTTTTGGTTTTTGGGAGTCGCTGCAGAGATGGATGGATCTGGGAATGACCTAAGCAGCCTAGGGATTGAGTTCTGCTGGCTACATTCTCATTAAACAGAAGACATAAGAGCTAAAGTTTTGAGTAAAGGTTTCTGACCTTGCATTACAGCAATAAAGTATAAGTGCCCTGAAAAGATAGTGTCAGAAGAACATGGTAGTACGGGTCATGTTACATGTGTATCACCAAGATATAGATTAACCCATGGTTGGCTGTCAATTCTAGGTTGACGAGATCTTCAAGTTCAGTGGAATGCTATATCTTTTAAAGCCAAAGTTTAATTGACTTATATTTTGCCTTCCCTAGTTCTGCCTTTATTCCTCACCAACATGTTAATTACATTTTTCAATAAAATCTCAAAGAATACAGTATGTAAACCCAACACTTCCTATGCTTGATATGTGCCTGCTTTACCAGGTTCTCTCTGTATTGCTTCCTTTGTGTGAAATCCCTGGTGATCCTGCCAATCCCTCTGCTTTCCTAATAAAAATTGACCACACTAGGTGGGAAAGAGCAATGTAGTCAGTTCACTAGCTGTGCTGGGAACTCAGCTTGCTCTTCTCCAATGATCAGACTTGTCCTGACACCCCCTCTTCCTGCACAACCATTTACTGTAAAGATCAGTGTGCTGCTGTTGCTCCTTCTCCAAGCTCTTATGCAGCTGAGAACAGAGGGGATATAATCACTTATAAAAAAAGAGGAAACAAAAGTATTTATAATATTTTTTATATCTATACACAAATGTTTTACCCAATTTATACTGAATGGTTGTTTTACAAGGTAAGGGTTTACAATCAATTTAGACCCAGTAATGTCATCTCTGCGTCTCTGCGCATTGATCATGACTGGTAGGAGAGACTGGCAGGGTGTAAAAAATAAAAAGCACAAGCAGGAAACAGTAAGGCTGGGACAGAAGTGTGATGCTGGATCTCTTCCAGTCAGGAAATGAGGAAGGCTCTATCTGACTTCCTGCAGCTTCTATTGCACACTGTGAGAATCTCACAGTCTGTAGTAACATCAGAGTAAGCCATCTGAGTACAGGAGAGGAGCCTATACAGCTGTGTATGACTGTAGTAAAGGCTTTAAGATTTTTGATACCTTTGTGCTTTGAATGAATTCATTCATTAATGAATTATTAAATCAATGATGTGTGTATGGATGTGTATAGCTTTCAAAATCTTTCAAGCAATAGAGTGTATATACAAATGGAACCCTTTTAGAGCCTTTTAACAGTTTACTGAATTATTAGAAGCAGATATTTTACATACTTGACCCTTCCCTTGAAGGTGGTGGCACTTAGCTTAAAGTATTACTAAATCCACAACAGTAAAATCAGTCTGTATATGCAGTAAAGCATGCTTTTTTGCTCACTGTGGTATCTAAGGGGTTAATCCTCTACATTGTGTAAAAAAGGCTGTTTGATCCTGTCTTCTCTGATCCTCCCCTTCTTCTACTGTCCCCAATCCCTCTGCTGATAGAACAGAGCCTTGGAAGCAAGCTGCACATGTTCAGTTTGCTGTGTAATGCTAGAGAGGTTTTATTTTTCTTGGGAGAGTGCATGTGTTCATCACAGGGCCAATCAGCGCTGTCCAGGCAGAGGGTCAGGGGTCCTGCAGCCTCACAGGACAATCAGGAGAGAATGGAAACAGGTACAGGTACAAGCAATCCAGCATAGTTCAGAGAGGTGGGGCATGAGAGACATACGTCACAGAAGGGGTGCCCCAGCATCAGGCATTTCATGACAGGGGGAGGTGAGTAGCTCCAAAAAATGCATAAAGTCACCTTACCGCTCCAGTCTTACCCCTAAGGTGAATTTCCTATATATTGTTTTGGTCCAGTCCACCCACAGAGAAAACCAGTAATCACTCTCCTCGTGGCAACTGACCCAGGAACAACTTTGCCTTACCCAGGGTGTCAATCTCCTAGCAGGGGCAGGGCTGGCACTTAGCCCATACAGCGCCTAAGCAGAATCTCACTCTTAAGTTATAGGCAGGGGTGGGCTGACAACTCATGGGGCCACCGCGCAATAGGGGATCATGGGGCCCCTGTGTCCTTGCCCAAACTCAAAAAAGCCTATGAAAAGGGTACCAGGGGCATCTTATGGGGCCCCTACTGACCCCGGGCCCTCGGGCAGTAGCCGAGTTTCCAAATGGTCAGTCCGCCCCTGATTATAGGGGCATCTAGTTGTCAATATGGAAACTATAACAGGTCATATCCTTTGTAATTAAAAACACATATACATATAAAGTTAAAAAAATATAAACAAAATTACAAAAAAAAAATAAAAGAGTAAGCCCTTTTTTAAGGAGGTTTCACTTAAACAGCTCAATGTGTGAAATTGAAACTTTTTGCTTTGGCAATAATTCACAAATGCAATCATGTAATCACATTGATCACATTTACTAGCATTCTGCAACATAATTACATGTATGTCACTGTATGACAAAATAGCAAACTACATAAGTTAAATCGTTCAATTAAATGATGTTTATACTTCTTTGACTCCATGATAAGTAACTACTATTGTCATTTTCAGATACACTGGCTGACCCCCATTTTGTAATTGACAATGCTGTATCCAATATTATCTGTTCCATTGTGTTTGGGAGGCGCTATGACTATGATGATACCTCATTCCGAGATATTCTTAATATTGTCCATGAAAATATGAGGATGGCCACTGGATTTTGGGCTCAGGTAGGTCTTTCTCTGGCTACCAAATCCTAAAGTATAAGTATTTAGCAAAGCTGAGTAACTCCTGACCAATTAAATGGTTTGCTAATACCAGATCATGTAAAGCTGAACTCCAGGAAAATATAACATATAAAGTCAATGCAGCTTTGAATTTATTAATATATCATTCAATGCATTTTTTAAAGCAGTGTTATATACATGTAGATGGGGCTTAAGGCACCCTAAATGGGAACTCTGGACACTTCACTCGCTAGTTTCCAATTAAGCAGAGGCTGCAGTCATGAAAAATCTGCTTTAAGGTGGTCAGAAGTGATCATACTGTATGTTATGGCACAATTACAGCAACTCTTCATGTCTTATTAACTTACATTCCACTAATTGTGCACAGTTTTCCTTTCATAGTGCAGCACTTTTAAGGACATAGTTACATAGTTAGTCTGGCTGAAAAAAAGACAAAAGTCCATCCAATTCAACCATTAAAAAAATAAATAAACAATTGCAATTCTAGATGTGAAATGTGCACATATGTAGGCTAATCTGTCTGGAGCATTGTAAGGCCACATGCACACTGGGCATTCAGCTTCTGTGAGTGAGACGCCGGCGTTTTGCTCCAGGCTGAAATAACAGGTTACATAGTTACATAGTTAGTCTGGCTGGAAAAAGACAAAAGCCCATCCAGTTCAACCATTAAAAAAATTAAAAAGTTATAATCCTATACCCACAGTTGATCCAGAGGAAGGCAACAAAACCCCAGTAAAGCATGATCCAATTTGCTCCTGCAGAGGAAAAAATTCCTTAATGCATAGAGAGATAGACAGAGCTTTGATGCCACCTCACTCCCAGTCACATACTTGCGACTTTTCGTTAGCACTAAATTTGTAGAGTCTCTGTACTTCTGAAAATCCTCTCTTATCTTCTTCACTGTGACTCAAAGGCTATATACATAGGGGCTCTGTGCCACGGTTCTGGTTCTAGACAAGTGCAGAACCCAAAAATTTGTTTCATTTAGTTTTGGATAACTTCATTATGTTACTAATTTTGTTTCATGCATTTGTTTCAGAATTTATTTTCATTTTGTTTATTCATTTTCCAACGAACTCCACATGTTCAGAATTATTCAAATTCGAATTTTGAAAGTGTATCAACCGAGCCCCCCCCCCCCCCTCTTGAACCATACCAGGCCACATGCCCTGAAAATGGGGCTGTACTTTGGGGTGGGGTGGTGTTTTCCCCAAAAGCACCTTATCCCCATGATGATGGGGCCAAGGGTCTCTTTCTCACAACTGCAGGGCAGTGTTTGTGGGAGAAATCAGATACATCCAAATCTCTGAATAACCAAAAATGTGTCCAAATTTAGATTTGGACCAAAATGAATTGCAGATGTCTATCCGATCCAGGGCATGGGGCACCAGCCGCTGGGAAGGGGGATTGCACTAAGGAACCAACTTGCTACCAGATCACACCATCATGCCTGCCAGTCATACTGTACACTAGCCAGCTGGCAGCTTTAGCACCACACACTCCACTGGTTACTCATGGCAATGGCAATCAGGTCTTTCATTTGTAGCATTCTCCACTTGAAACCCTAGGTAGTGCTGTTGTAAGCCCTGTTCTTCTAAATGCCTTGCATGCATCCCCTTTTGTAATAACTTCAGACCAGGCACTTTTGTGTAACACCCCTCTAGTTAGCTAGGGGGCGCTAGATATTAGATAGAGGCTGGATAGCAGTTAGCCTGGGATGAGTCAGCCAGGTAACTTTACGTAAGGGCTGAGGGCTCTGTAGGTCAGTTTCCTGATACCTCCCCCCACTCTAGAAGCTTGATAAGGTTCAAGAAGGCAGTGGGTGGGGGTGAGGAGGCTGATCTGCATACTCAGGGGACTCTGGCCAATCCCCAAGCAGGAGGCTTGGCATTGGGCCAGGGCAGCCCTTACGTATAACTGAGCCTGCTCAGTAGGAGGAGTAATGTCGGGTGGAAGATGAAGTGAAGACTGGAATGTGGAGCCTGGGAGGGGGCCCACACCCCCTGCACCAGAGAAAGGGAGAGGGCATTATGGTGGGAAACCTAACTGGCCACCATGGGATTATTGATTTAAAAGTGGCAGTTTTGTGGGCCCTTTGCTCAAAGATTTAGGCAGCTGGGTGAAGAGGAGATTTCATCTGGGGTCTGAGGTGGTACACCAGGAGGGCTGGAAAGAAGAGAATATTTGTCCATGGACTTGTACATAGTTGCTAAGGAGTTGTCCTCAAGTTGCAGTTTCTTGGACATCCCATACACCCCCCAACCCTATCCAAGTTCAATATCCCTTAATAAAACCAAAAAAACTCAAGGACTGTTTACTGGCTGCAGTGTGCAAGTGTGGAAGAAAGTGCGTGTTGCCTGGCTGTGCAGGACTATAGGGGGGCTAAAAACTCAGTGACTCCTAAGGGGGTAGTGCTACATTTGCAATAACTCAGGAATGTTTACTGAGAAGTTGCAAGTGAATACAGTGCACTGTTTCTTTACAGTCGCTTCTTCCTCAACTCTAGCTCTCTTTGCTGTTCAAGCTGTTTCCTCACCAGGCTGCCCAACTCATACCTTAGAGTAGTGTAAAGTCCATAATGTCCTTCATACTCTTCAGCACCACGACAGGGTACCCTTTCCAGGGGGGAAAACCCCTGAACAGAGATCGCATAATCTAGCAGTTCCCCTCTCTGATCTTCCCATGCAAGGATAGCCCGGACATGCTGCCTCCTCTTGTGTTGTAGACAAAGGGTCAGAGCCATTAGTTAGCAGCCTTAACCCTTACCTTACCCCCTGGGCAGCCCGCTGACTCAATAACACATTACTGTATAGAGAAAAGTAAAACAGACATTCACATAACAACAGCAGGGTTACCAGGAACATGTCACACATACCATTAGTATAGCAGTGCCAATATCACACAAAGCAACAAAAATAAAGTAAACTTGTTTTACACCACAAGATCCGTTAACACCAGTGTACATACACTGAATCAGATTTGTTATCAGCCTCTTGTAGTCCTCTGTACAGCAAAGACAAGGCTAGGAGTCACAGAAGCAGCACAATGAGCCAGTCAGATTGGCTGCAGTACTCCTTCATTCCTCCTACCACTCCATCCCCCACAGCCACTTCCTCCTGTACCACTACCCCCTCCCTCCTAGATTGTAAGCTTGAAAGAGTAGGGCCCTATAACCCCTCGTGTGCTGTTTGTAGTTGCTGTAATGTTTCATGTATTGTCCACCCCTCTATTGTACAGCGCTGAGCAAACCCTTTGGCGCTATATAAACTTGATCTAATAATAATAATACTTATTAGGCAGAGAGAGAGCAGTGACAACGGGATATGCTCATCAGTCTGATTCTTCTCCTTTAACTATCCATTCCCTCGCTGAAGGAGGGACAAGGTCCAGGTCTGCTGGATTGCAAGATAGGGCTGTTCTATGTGTAAAGCTGTTCTAAGGACTGGATGGACAGATATACAAATATTTTGGCAGGAACCATGGACGTGCACACAGGGTGTGCTGGGTGTGCCTAGGCACACCCTAATCACACCATGGACATTCTTCCCAACTGCTCCGGCTTGTACAGGACAAGCCTGAGATTTGAATTAAATCCTGGTGTCCCGGCAATCCGAGTTGAATACAAGAGCACAGTGCTGGAACCCGTTGGTTCCAGGGTCATTAGTAGTTAAGGCTTATATATAATTTATCATGCCCCTTTAAGCCACTGTAGACACTGTAACCACTGTAGACAAAATTTGGCCACATCCACCATTTGCCACAGCTTTGGTGTGCACATCTTAATGCACTAGACTTTGCACACCTATGGCAGGAACTGTCTTCACCTGTGTACATTACTATTTTGCCGCAGTTTCTTCTGCATTTAACTAGAACGTATTTTGTCTTCCTACCTTCATCTATGAGCACATTCAATATTTTATTTACCATATACACTTATATTCCATACTAAACAGCAGTATGTTAATGTAACTGATCTGCAATTACATTAAAGCTGTCCTTTGAATTACATTATCAAAATATAAGTCTTATGTAAAACCCCTGTAAAAGCAAGGGGTGTAAAACAGATTTTAGCATGGCTTGTGACAATCAGGCCTTAAGGGTTCAGTAGACATTAATCATGGTCAGAATATAACACACACAAAATCTTAAACATACTGGTAGATCTCCGGGTGGAGATCATTCTTTGAAGAAAAGTTTGAAATCAACTAGCTGTATGTTCTGTAATGTACCAGGGACGTATTTACCACAAGGCAAACAAGGCATTTGCCTAGGGCGGCATTTTTTAGGGGGGCAGCACTGCTCCCCTGAAGAAAGGGCATATGCTGCATGGGGACCAGGTGAGATCCCTGAGAGGCTGTGGGCTGCTTGATGGTGTATGCAGAGCCCAACTGTCGTTCCTGGGGATGGCCAGAGTCACCGGGGGAGCAGGGGGGGTGGCATTGTTAGTGGAAGGCTCTCTCGGATGGGGGGATGGGGCGGTGGTGTTGTTGGTCACTGTCAGGCTCTCTCCACCAGAAATAGGTGGGGGGGGCGTCCAATTTTTGTGTTGCCCAGGGCCGCACAAAACCTAAATACACCACTGTAATGTACTACCAACCAAGATGGTGACAAGAACCCAGGAATATCTTCTTTTATATGGCCACCTCCACTGTATCAATCATTTTTAGTACAGAAACCTTATATGTAACATATCTGAGTATAAAGGGAAACATGAAAGCAAAAGAAGCTATAAAGGATAATGTGTTACTTTTTTTCACAGCTCTATAATGCATTTGGATTTGTGAAATATCTTCCATTGCCACATCAGAAGATATTCAGAAATGTTACGACAGTCTTTGCGTTCCTTGGTAAGGTTTTAGAAGAACATAGGAGAACCAGGGTGCCCGGTGAACCCAGAGATTACATAGACTGCTACCTGGAGGAACTTGATATGGTAATCTTTGACCTAATTCTCAAAAAAACTCTTTACACAATTTGTCATGTATTGAATGGGCATTGGAAGCAAGGGAAGAGAGCGCACAACCGCCCTAGTGTGATACCGTTTATTAAAAGTCAAAATGAAACATAAATCATTCCACTCACATTTAGTAGAATAAATATCAGCACTACTCCTGGATCGCCACTGTCTCTCTCAGCTCTCTTCTGTGCCATCAGATCCTCCCATGGGGCACATCGCTGGCTGGTCCGTGCGCATGTGCACTAGGTCGGGCACATCCCAGCCCATGGGCGGCGTATTGTCAGGAGCTGGGACATCCATCTCACAGCTAGCCCGTGTCATAAATCCAGTGCCCAGATTTTACAGTGGCGATCCAGGAGTAGTGGCGGAGAGAATCCATATGCTGATATTTATTCTACTAAATGTGAGTGGAATGATTTATGTTTAATTTTAACTATTAATAAACGGTATCACACTAGGTCGGTTGTGCACTCTCATCCCTCTCTACTATTTAGATCTTTGATCAAAACCAATGGTTTATCAAGAGAGCTGCAGTACCGCAGCTAGTGAACTACTAGTACCAACATGTCTTTCTTGCGCGAGAAAGCTTTGACCATCGCACCAAACTGTGTATTTATTGGAAGCAAAAGCCTTTGCTAACATGAGTCAAGTAAAATATTCCTGACTCTCAACATTCCTGGAAATGGCTCTAAGGTAAATGGTGCTCCAGCAACCACCATCTGGGGACAGGTATCAGCATATACTAAGAGACACGTTGCCAGCACACCACAGATCTCTGAGAAGTCACAGCATAAAATAGTTAAGTTTCAGGGCCGCACAGAACCCCTTCTTTAGGAATGTGAACATCACATGTCCTGCATTATCCCGAAACATCGCTATTTTATGCTGTGGTGTGATCACCTCAATAAAACTTTTTGGGTGCTTTCTCAGAGATCCTTGGTGTGCTGGTGACCTATCTCTTAAACTTTGTTGCATGAGTATGCACCATGCTGAGGAACACTCTGGAGTGGACCTTGTGCTCTCCAGCAAATCCTATGTTGTATACAATCTTGTAAAATCTGACTACTAATAAGTAACTCTGCATATATTTTTAGGAACAAGAAGATGGTCACAAGTCAACCTTTGATGCTGAGAACCTCTTCACGTGTGTGGGCGATCTCTTTATTGCTGGGACAGAAACTACCTCTGCCAGTCTTGAATGGATTCTGCTTTACATGATGGCCTATCCTGACATTCAGGGTATAGTCTTCTGAAAATGATTTCCCTCTTTGGACCTCCTATTTTCTAGTGGCTTTGTTCTATAAGTGTTTATGTTGTCTATTACAACCCACCAATGAGGTGGTTTCAGTTTCTGCCACCTGCAATTTGATTGATTTTTATGAGTAATGCAAACCTATGCTGCCTTCAGTTTTATTTATGAAATCTCCAGTATGAGTATTATACTGTGCTTGTTGTTCCAGAGAAATGTCGGGAAGAAATTGATAGAATTCGAGGAGACAGAGGCTATCTTGACTATGAGGACAGAGTAAAGATGCCATACACACAGGCTTTTCTACAGGAAGTCCAACGATATGCCTCAGTTGTGTCACTAGGAGTTGCTCATGCACCCATTAAAGATATTCAGCTGAATGGATACACTATACCAAAGGTATACTTCAAGTGTATATCAGAGAAAAATAAACAGAATCATATTCAATATATCTCTGTAATACAAACACAGTTCATCATATTTTAAGTACAAAAAAGAAATGTTAATCTGCCAGAATTCCAGGGCGCTCCTAACCTTTTGTTTGGGTTGACAACCCAATGCCTTTGCTGCACTGAAATCTTAACCAGCATTGTCAGCCCTGCCTACTAGATACCAAGACTCCGCCTATAACCACCCATTTCTGTCCCACTCTACATGCATACATTCATTTCTTTGCCAAAACAGCTGTCCCTGCAAGAATTGTACAAACCTGGTGACCGTGTTACAGGGAACAATCAAATTTTTTTTTATGTTGTAAATTCATGAACAACGTAAAAGGAAAGAAATGTTTCTGCACACCTGTCAAACCAGGACAAAACTTTTAATATAGTGTTCTATGAGGTATAAATACAATTTTGTTTGCAAACCTGTCATTAGGGATAAACAAAACTTCAGGCAAACTATGGAGATTTTGGCAAGAAATGTGACAATTGTGGCAGAATGCAGCTCAGTGTTCTTCGAAATTAAAGAGAGCAGATTGCACATGCATGGGTAGGGAACAAATCCAGGAGTGCTCATTCATGAGTCTTCAGGACCTTGCTGGGTACGTCCTGTCACCTGTAGAATGGAAAAGGGAATACAATTATATAAGCCGCTTAAAAGGTAAGTATTTCTTTGCAAAATGGAACACTACTTTTTAATGTATTAAGGCCACTGTAATGCATAGGGACCTGTTTAGAAAAAATACAAAAAGGTGAACTAACCCTTTAATGACTGAGACGCCCTATGTATAAATGCTCCTCTTCAGGTTGTGAGAGACAAGCCACGTCTTAGGCTGCAATCTTGCCTCATGATGGTTCTGTTTGTTGCTTTGCAAATAAAAGCATCAAACAGACCCTATAGCCGCTCTATAGCAGATTTACCGCTACAAGGCGGACATTCTGTAGCCATTTCAGCCACTGGGGGGTGCTCTTTTGCTAACGAAGTGCCGCTTCTGCTGTGATTGGACACGGCAAATGCCGATTAACAGATAGCGGCCAATGGATGAGCGCCGGCACCTGTTGATCGCCGAGGAGACTGACAGAACACAGCTCTGCCTTGTTTACATTCAGGGAATAAATTCTAGCAGATTGCTCAGTAAAAACAGCACACTGTACACACAAAATCACTGTTTAGGCACACAGTTAACCCTTTGATCACCCTAGATGTTTAACCCCTTCGCAACCAGTGTCATTAGTACAGTGTCAGTGTATATTTTCAGCACTGATCACAGTATTAGTGTCACTGGTTCAACAAAGTGTCAGTTAGTGTCAGACTATCCGTAGCAATACCGCAGTCCCACTATAAGTCGCTGATTGCTGCCATTACTAGCAAAAAAAAAAAAATTCCAGTATATTTTTACCACTATTTGTAGACACAAAAACTTTTGTGCAAACCAATCAATATACACTTACTGAGATTTTTGTACCAAAAATATGTAGCAGAATAAATTTTGGCCTAAATGTGTGAAGAAATTTCATTTTTTTTATTGGATATGTATTATAGCAGAAAGTAAAAAATATTGTTTTGGTTTTTTTTTGTTTTTTAAATGTTGGTGTTTTTCAGTTTATATCGGAAAACATAAAAAACCCACAGATGATCAAATAACACTAAAAGAAAGCTCTATTTGTGGGAAAAAATGACATAAAGTATCACAGTGCTACATTGCAAAAAATGGCCTTGTCATGAAGGGGGGTAAATCTTCTGGAGGTCAAGTGTAGAGCCCATTTTCATAAACACAGACACACAACAATAAAACACATCCTCTAAATAAATCTTTGAAAATTAGATAATTTTTAAGCACTTTGTTCAAGCAAATTTCATAGCTCAATGAGTGAAAATAAGAGTTTCCACTGGCTCAGTTTTGCTAAAACCATTCCGCTCATTCCTGCTTGCCATAGGGGTTATCAAAGCATATCTAAACCCAAAATCCAAAATGTAATATATTGTAGCTTGATAGTCTTTAGATGTACTGGCTGCTTTCATTTACTCTTTTGATTTTTTTTTTACTTTAGTTTCATCAGATAATCTCGCAAATAACGCTTTTCCTGCCCTTTCATGGCCAATTGGTATCTAGGCACAATAGTTGTTAATCAGGCTTGATTTCAACCATGACTGCCTTTGTTCATCTCATTGCTCATCTTCATTTCTGACAGAATCAACTGGTATTTTCTATACTTACTTAAAAAAAAGGTTCTTTGAAACATGAAAACTAAAGCAGCCAACACATCTAATAGGAACTGATGATCTGCAATATATAAAATGTTGTTTTGAGGTCTAGATTCTCTTAGAAACTGTTATCCTATTCGGTTCACTGATGTTCACCCACAACCTATATTGACGTTTTGGGTGGGCACTGGTGAGTTAAATCTTCTGCTTCACTTTATATATCTTAAACTGTTTTTCAATTTTGTGTCTCCAGGGAACACTCATCATCACAGATCTGTCCTCGACTCACTATGATGAAAAATATTGGAAGTATCCAAATGAATTTAATCCAGAAAATTTCTTGAATGAGGATGGAGAACTAGTGAAAGTAGATGCTTTCTTACCTTTTTCTGCAGGTAATAGATTACAAATAGTTACAATAAAGGTGATGACTTCAGAAGAATTAGATATTCTTAGTAACGATGAACAGAATATATCAATGTAGAGCTATCCCTGTGGGAGTTGATGCCTGTCCCCGGCTGTTACCCTGGCCTTGCAAGTTTCTCAACCATTCTGACACTCTAGGTTCAGACATGCTTAAACACATAATTAATGCTCACCAAATTAGTAATAAAGAATATTAGCACAGAGTCTAGTAAAAGCACAAGACACAATTCTATAGCAGTTGCTGGTATATTGTATGCTCATAATCAAGGGTTCATATTAACAGTTGAATAGTTCAAGGGTACATAAAATGAGTGAACTCTAAGTATAATACCAAATGGTTAAGTAAGACTAGTATAGCAATGTCAAAGTATATCTATCAAGATTAGATGCAATTAAAGATAACCATCAACATGCAACACTGGTTGAAGGGGGAGAGACTTAGAAACTCATCAGCTCCCTATGGACCACTGGGACACTTTAGTTGTCACTGTTAGTTGTCACTGAAATACCCCTTTGGTTTAGTAATAACACACAAGGGTAAAGTGCTTCCTTAGATGGATAAGTAGTTCTTTAGGACCTATATAGGGGATAGTTTCAGTTTGGGGGGAATATTGTCTTCTGCTAGCAATGTTGGGGCCCGTAGAAGATGTTGGATACTTATAGGTTAGTACTGTTAAGCAGATAAATAATTGGAGTGCTAGTAGCAAAGGTGCCAGTTGAATGGCAGAAGGAGGTTGGATGTCTGCCCACCCACCAATCCTGATATGGTTGCACCCTCCATGGGAGCAAAGTATGTGTGCAGGCTCTCAAGCTGTCAACGTGATGAAGAACAGCAACAGGAGTATGGAGATGGACTGTGAGAGTTTTGGAGTGCAGATGAACAGCTTCAGCACCTAGTTTATTGGTCTACATCACAGCTATGACGATGTGCTGTCTGGAACATCACCGTAACTGGCTAGGCCGCAAAGGTCCACTGTGACTGTGTACAGGACAGCAGCCTCCAACCATCCTCTTTGAAGTCCTGAGCCAAGAGAGAGGGCCTGCCAATCACAGTCAAATATTAATATATCTCCCACAATCCTCCTTGCTAGGCCAGCCTTCTGGGATGTTTCGTTCAAACAGCACTCAGAAATACAGTGTGGCATGTTAGTGGAAACTACAGGTCCCAAGATCCCCTTCTCTCACTCATGAGATCAGCTCTCTCACCCTGCTGACAGGAAGTGATGTAATAGTCTAAATACTGGGAACCAGAAGGGAAATGTGTATCCCATAGTTCCACTTGTCAGTGTCCCTTGGTTTCGTTATAACATATCCAACACCTAGCTACATAAAACGTAATACTTATGTATGGCATTAGTGTAAGGCCTAATACTGGCCACAGTTCATTCAGTGCCAGTGCTGAAGCCAAATGCTGACCAATGAGATCTGTGGGCAATGTATCTAAACAAAGTAGAATATATTTGATTAGAGCAAAATATTTTTTATACTTTTACACCTCCAGCCATGTCTCGAACCATTATATTTAGTTTTGGAAGAAGAGTCAGAGTGTTATTACTGTATGCGTTCCTGATAGGGAGATTCACCCTGGGGATTATTGTGATCGGGACAGTTAATTATAGGAAATAAAAAATGTTATAGTTTTTCATTCAAAATAAAGAATTTGGGATTAAGTTGCATTTTAAATGTTACTTCCCTCTGACCATCATGTGTTTCTCTTTAGGTCCCCGGGTTTGTCTTGGGGAGAATCTGGCCCGGATGGAGCTCTTCCTCTTTTTCACAATTATGATGACACACTTTGAGTTCCACTGGCCAGACCCCAAGTCTCCTCCAGACCTCACACCAGTTTTTGGAATCTCACAGAAACCGAAGCCTTTCAAAGTTAAACTGGTACCACGCATATAGAACTGACTATATGGACTCAGTGGACTCAAAAGTACACTCAAACAATTCAAACAATACCCAATTATCATTCACATTAATAAAAGTGTGTTGTTCTATTTACAATTTACAACCACAATTTAAAAAAAAGTTGGGATGCTGTATAAAATCAACATAAAAACAGAATGCAATGATTTCTAAATCTTATTTTATCTTTATTTTATTCACAAAAGAAAATAGGAAGCATTTTATGTTTAAAGTGAGAAAATGTACTATTTTAAGAAAAAAATTGAAATTGATGGCAGGAACACATCTCAAAAAAGTTGGGACAGGGCAACAAAAATCTGGCAAAGTAAGCAGTACTAACAAGAAAGAGTTGGTAGAACATTTTGCAACTAATCAGGTTCGTTGGCTACAGGTCAGTAACATGATTGGGTATAAAAAGAGCATCTTCAAGAGTCAGAGTGTCTCAGAAGTAAAGATGGGCAGGGGTTCACCAATCTGTGAAAAGCTGCATCTAAAAACTGTTAAACTATTTCTGAATAATGTCCCTCAATGTGAAATATGTAATCATCTACAATACCTAATATCATGAAAAGATTTGGAGAATCTGAGACACACTGCATAAAAAACAGGCATGATTCTATGATGGAAATCATGGGCTCAGAAATACTTCCAAAAATCGCTGTCTGTGAAGATAGTTCAAAGTGCCATCCAAAAATGAACAGTAAAGCTCTGTCATGCAAAGACGAAGCCATATCTGAACATGATCCCAAAACACCACAGTCTTCTCTTACAAAAGCTTATTTGAAATGGTTTGTTGCAAAGTGGAAAATTGTTCTGTGGTCAGACAATTCGAAACTATTATTTTTGGCAACCATGGGTGCTGCGTATTCCGGACTAAAGAGAAGAAGGACCTTCTGGCTTGTTATCATCACTCTATTCAAAAACCTGTATCTCTGATGGTATGGGGGTGCATTTGTGTGTATGGAATGGGAAACTTGCACATCTGGAAAGGCACCATCAATGCTGAAATATATATCCAGGTTTTACAGCAGCATATGCTGCCATCAAGACAACAGTTTTTGGCAGGCAAGACCTTGTATATTTCATGAGGACAATGCTGAACAGTTGCATCTGTTACTACAACATGGCTTTGTAATGGAACAGCCCGGGGTGCTTAATTGGCCTACCTGTAGTCCAGACTTTTCACCAACTGAAAATATTTGGTACATCTTGAAATGAAAAATAGGACAAAGAAGACTCAGGACTGTTAGAATCAGTGCAGTCAGAATCAGAATCATAAGCAGTTAGAATCCTATAGCACGCAAGAATGGGACAACATTCCTCTCCCAAAACTCCAGCAACTGGTTTCCTCAGTTCTCAAATATTTGCACACTGTTGATAGAAGAAGAGGATGTGGTGGTAAACATGGCCCTGTCCCAATTTTTTTCAGATGTCTTGCTGCCATCAGTTTCAAAATTACCTTATTTTTTTTTCTTAAAATGTTTTATTTTCCCAGTATAAACATTTGATATGTTTTCCATTTTCAATTTTGGGTAAAATATAGGCTTATGAGATTTGCAAGTCGTTGCATTCTGTTTTAGATAGATTTTACACAGCTCCCCATCTTTTTTTGGAATTGGGGTTGTACTAGTTAATCCACATACTGTATGTCAGTTTTAATATAGTAAGTGGTATCACATACTTGAAATATGTGCTATAAAGGTTTAAACTTTTCTGAAGGTTATTTACTGATGTGAAATATTATGTCGTTTTCATGTCACTTCACAGTGCCATCTATGGCAAAAGTATTAAAAAATGTATAAAAGGACCTGTTCCGGGTTATTAAAAAACTATTGTATTATTTACACTGGATCATATTGCTCTTTTACACAGATATTCAGTTTATCAATTTACATTGCATCAACATATCCTGCTGCTCCTTAGCTAATAGTGCATGACTTACAGGGCAAAGATTAACCCCTTCACGCCTAAGGGTAAAGCAAATCTTAATGCCTAAGCACAATTTTGCAACGTTGACATGTGTTAGTAAAACTGTACATATCATCACAACTACTTTGTACATCCAGGTGAATTATACCGCGTTTTTTTCAGGACAAATTGGGCTTTCATTTGGTGGTAAATGGTAATGGACATCTCCTGATTTTTTTTCTATTATCAAAGGAAAACTGGCCCAAAATAGTAATAAAAAAAATCATTTTTTTAATTTAGCTGTGTGTTTCTTGTTACTACCATAAACCTACCACCAAAGAAAAAACCCAAAATAAATTATCCAACTCTTGACGATCGCAGCGATACCATATATGTGTATAGTATTTGTTGTTTGTACATGTAGTACAGCCCAGAAACAATAGTGCGCATTTTCTTTTAGTCTTTTTTTTTTTTTTTTACCTAAAATACACTGTCACTGACATTGACAATAACTGACACTGATACCATTTAATTTTTAAATCCTGACCTTTGACCCACACAATAACCCTGGCACTAAACTAGATTAAACCTTGATCTAGGTATTTTTTCTTTATTTTATTTTCTAATATTTCTTTATTTTTTTACAATTTTTTTTTCTCTCTATAGCAGGCCATAGATGGGTCGAAAATTGGCCGAAAATTCGTCTGAAAGAATAAGCGGCCGATTTTCGGATCGTTAGTGGGTGAATTGGTTGGCTGTTTTTTTCGTGATTTTGACACATTTTTTTAATCGGTCATGTTGGAAAAAAAACGGCCGATTTTGTCCATCTGTCCGAATCGGTCGATCTTTTTTACCGATTACAAAAATGCGCATGAGCTGTGACCTCCAAGAAAAGAAGAAAAAGAAGAAGATGAAGACAAAGAAAAAGAAGAACATCTGTATCAATTTGTATCCATTTCGGATACAGATGTTTCTATTCGGATACAAATAGATACAATGCTGAAACCGCTATACTTTTAAATGTCAAATATAATAGCGGTGTCCCTGCAGAGAGCTCCGCTATTATATTTGACATTTAAAAGTATAGCGGTTGCA